GAGCCACCACTGTTCCCTCCCAGGGTCTGTATTAGCAGGAAGCTGGAGTCGGGAGCCGGAGTCAGGTTTGGAACCTGGACACTATGATGTGGAGTGTGGGCACTCTAACCACTAGGCCACGTAGGCTATTTTCAATCTTTAATTTTAACTGGCCCATCATGATTGTGCATATTTACGGGGTACCGTCTGCCGGTGTGGCATTGTGCCAAGAGTGACAAGCCCGCCCATGAGCACAGCCCCATTGCTTCTTTAGCTGCTCTACCAAGAAGGTGGCAATGTGTGTGGGTCTCTGGGCGGCCCCTGAATGGTGTATTTGGAGTCTTTTTGGGTAACTGAAGGGATGTTTAGGGATTCCTCTGACCACATGGGTGTTTTGCCTGTGTGAGCTGACCGTGGTATCTGTGAGCTTGGGTTCATGGAGCCCCATGAGCTCGACAGGTTGCTTGGCGTGTTATTGCCATGAGTTCATGTGACTATTTCCTGAAACATTCGAGGTAGCTCTGTGTAACCCCTGTTTTGGAGCTGGGTGTGCTGTCTCCAGAGAGGATCCTGCAGGACCAGGAGGAAGTGCAGGTGCGGGTGCCCGTGCCTTACGTTGTTGGGCCTGTGACTTTGGCTCCCTGAGCAGAGCACTTGCACCATTTTATCTGGGATACAGGCCCCTGTCCCTGCCAGGCACGGCCCATGGTGCGTGTTCACCCTCCCCCATGTCGGCCCCTCAGCTTCTCCCCGAATGCACCTGAAAGGGGCTAATGCAAGCCCCGACTGGCCCACAAGCAGCCACCAGCAGTCTGGAGACTTTGGGAAAGGGGGAGATTTTACCAAGGGCCCATCCCTGTCCGGGCGCTGTGCCAGGTACTTGGCAATCTTGTTAATCTTCCCAAGGTGACTCCTGGGAGGCACAGGCTCCTTGCTGCTCTTTTGCAGATTCAAAAGCCAAGTCTTCTGGGAACTTGGGGATAATTAAGAGGCCAGCCAGGGGCTCGTGTTGTGGTGCAGTGGGTTAAGCTACTGCCTTGACCTTGGCATCCCATACAAGTGCCGGTTTGAGTCCTGGCTGTTCTACTTGTGATTCAGCTCCCTGCTAATGCACCTGGGAAAGTAGCAGAAGATGGCCCAAGCGCCTGGCCCCGCCACCCACACAGGAGACAGAGATCTTCCGACCACTGGTTCACACCCCAGATAGTTAAAGTGGCCAGAGCTGGGCTAGGCCAGGCTGAAGCCAGGATCCTGGAACTCTATCCGTGTCTCCCATATGGATGGCAGAGGTCTGAGCACTTGGGCCATCTGCTGCTGCTTTCCTAGGCTCATGAGCAGGGAGCTGGATGGGAAGTAGAGCAGCCAGGACTTGAACTGATGCTCATATGGGATGCAAACATTGCAGGTGATGGCTTAACCTGCTTCCCTACAATGCCGACCGAAGCCAGACTCTTTAAAACTTTTTTTTTTTTTTTTAATTTGGAAGGTAAGAGAGACAGAGATCTTCCATCTGCTAGTTTACTCTCCAAATAGATATGACAGCTGGACCTGGGCCAGGCCAAAGCCAGGAGCCAGGACTCACTCACATCTCCCACATGGGTGGCAGGGGCTCAAGTACTGAGCCATCATTTGCTGCTTTCCAGGCATATTAGCAGGGAGCTGAATCAAACCCAGGCACTCCAATGTGGAACGCAGGCATCCCAACGCCCTCCCCAAACCAGATTATTTAAAAAAAAAAATTTTTTTTTTGAAAGGCAGAGAGACAGAGAAAGTAGAGATCTTCCATCTGCTGACTCACTCCCTAAATGCCTGCAATAGCCAGGGCTGGGCCAGACCAGGAGCCAGGAGCCGGGAACTCAATCCACGTCTCTCACTGGGTGACAGGGACCCAATTACTTGCGCCATCGCTGCCCCCTCCCAGGGTGTGCATTAGCAGGAAGCTGAGCCAGGACTCAAAGGCAGGCACTGCAACAGGGGATACGGGCATCCCGAGCGGCATCCTAACCACTGTGCAAAATGCCTGCCCCAGCCAGATTCTGACACAGGTCTCACTCTGTATCCCACCCCACCCCCACCCCATGTCACCTCCAACAGCACTTCCCTTTTCCAAGCTGACGTCTTCTGCTTGTGGGCCTCACACCGTTGTAGGCACTGGGGACACAGCAGTGGACAAGGTCCCTGCCATCCTGGAGCTGGCCAAGCCCAGGATGCCTGGCGAGAAGTGAGTGAGGCAGCGTGCCAGGGCATGGTCAGGAAGGGTGGTGAAGGAGCAGGGTCGGTGCCCGCTGGTGGGAACGTGACCGGAGCAGGCGTGAGAGAGCCAGAGGGGCAAGGCAGGAAGTGTTCCAAGCTCAGGGAACGGCCGGGACGAAGGCTTGAGGTGGGAGTGTGGCTGGCATTTCAGAGAAGCAGCAGGTCATGTGGCCGAGGCAGGGGGGGTAGGGGGAGACAGGGAGGAGGCCAGGTCCTGAAGGGAGCAAAAGGCTGATCCCTCAGGACCTTGTGGCCACACGGAGGTGCCGGCTTCTACGCTGAGCACAGAAGGAAGGCAATCTGACTTGGGAGCTCCCAGGATGCCTCTGTGGGGAAGGGACCAAGGGGGTGAGGGAGGGCAGGAAGTCCCCTGAGGGAGCCACGATGTTCCACTGGGTAGACGCACAGGGTGGCTGGGACGGCGTGGGAGCCAGCAGAGGGGGAGAAGTGTGAGATGCCACTTGATGGACAGTGTGCAAGGTGGTGAGAGAGGACGCGCGTGAGCACTTGGAAAGATGGCACTGGCCACTTCCTGGTGTGGGATCGGGAGCTGGGTGTTGGACGGGCTCAATCTGAGGTGGCTCTCAGCTGTTCCAAAGGAAGATGTCACAACATTGGTGTGCAGATCTGGAGAGAGGACTCAGGAGAGAGGGGTAACAGCAAATAATGGCAGCTACGTGTTAGGATAGCTATGCTGTCATATTAGGCGTAACGTGAGGGTACCTCAATGTGAGTGTGGAAAACAGAATTTAAAGTAAAAGTTTAGAGGTGGGAAATTAGTCTACAGTTAAGACACGTGCATCCCACGCCTGAGGACTTGGTTTTGATTCCGACTGTGGCTCCTGATTCCAGCTGGAGCAGACCCGGGGAGACAGTAGTGATGGGTCAGCTGGGTTCCTGCCACCCACGAGGGAGACCTGGGTTACGTTCCTGGCCCAGCCACAGCCAGTTACTGTGGGCATTTGGGGAGTGAACCAGCAGAGGGGAGCTCGCTCTGTTTCTCTGCCTCTCAAAAAATTCTTAAAGCATCAGTTAATTTTGGTGCAAAAATTTTTTTAAATCCATACATAGTTTTTCATAATATGTATTTTCCACTTAATATGAAAAGAACATTGCAGCATAAATTTTTAAAAGATTTAGTTATTTATTTGAAAGGCAGAGTGGCAGAAAAATCTTATATCTGCTGGTTCACGCCCAGATGCCCATAACAGCCAGCTCTGGGCCAGGCCAAAGCCAGGAGCCCAGAACTCGATGTAGGTTTCCTTCATGGGTGTCAGGGACCCAAGCACTTGGGCCGTCACCTGGTGCCTCCCAGGTGCATTAACAGGAAGCTAAAATCTGAAGTGCAGGAGCCAGGATTCGAACCAACACTCCAGCATGGGATGTGGGCATTTCAAGGTGTGGCTTAACCCGCTGTGCGACAACACCTGGCACTCAGCACTTTTTCCCTCCGAAAGAAATTCATACTTTCTTTTTTTTTTTTTTTTTAAAAAGATTTATTTATTTGAAAGAGTTACACAAAGAGAGGAGAGGCAGAGAGTAAGAGAGAGAGAGGTCTTCCATCCGCTGGTTCACTCCCCAGTTGGCTGCAACGGCTAGAGCTGTGCCGATCCGAAGCCAGGAGCCAGGAGCTTCTTCTGGGTGCAGGGGCTCAAGGACTTGGGCCATCTTCCACTGCTTTTCCAGGCCATAGCAGAGAGCTGGATCGGAAGTGGAGCAGCCGGGTCTTGAACTGGCAATGATATGGGATGCTGGCGCTTCAGGCCAAGGCGTTAACCCACTATGCCACAGTGCCGGCTCCTAAACTGATACTTTTTATTTTATTTTTTATTTTTATTTTTGACAGGCAGAGTGGACAGTGAGAGAGAGAGACAGAGAGAAAGGTCTTCCTTTTTGCCATTGGTTCACCCTCCAATGGCCGCCGCGGCCAGCGCACTGCGCTGATCCGATGGCAGGAGCCAGGTACTTATCCTGGTCTCCCATGGGGTGCAGGGCCCAAGCACTTGGGCCATCCTGCACTGCACTCCCGGGCCACAGCAGAGAGCTGGCCTGGAAGAGGGGCAACTGGAACAGAATCCGGCACCCCGACCGGGACTAGAACCCGGTGTGCTGGCGCCGCAAGGCAGAGGATTAGCCTAGTGAGCCGTGGCGCCGGCCCTAAACTGATACTTTTAATTCTGTTTCCCCACAAGCTTTTTAAAGTACTCCCCTAGAACAGGGATATGAACACCACGACTTACTGAATTCACACTTTGGTAACACGGCTGGTAATTGTGAAAGGTCAGGCCCGCACCCCAGGCTGCACCATGCCGAGGTCTGAATGTTCACTAAAGCCCTAGCGGTAGAGAAGTGTGGTTGGTCTGGAGGGCCTTTAAGGACCCCCTTTCAGCTCCGGGGAGCCTTAAGCTGGGGAATTCTCTGAGACAGAGTCTGCCCCACCTGCCGGAATGGGGTGCGGGGTGCACGCGGTGCAGGTGAGCAGGACAGCTCAGCTAAGGGTTTTCTTTGTCTGTCTGGTTTCGCTGATTTTCAGGATGTGACCCTGGATTCTGAGAAGCGACTGCACCTGAGGGTTGGCGGTTTCACTCCGGGAGGTGAGGGGAAGCTGGGAGGGGGATTTGCTGAAGTCATGCCCAGCCCTGCGGGGTAGGGGCCCCAGAACTCTCCCATCCACATCTGGGCGGCTGGCAGGTGTCCCCCCACCTCCCTCACCAAACCTCCTTCTCCACCCAGATTCCTTCCCTGGGACAAAAAGGACATAGGCGGGGTCGGTTTTCAGGTTTTTAATTTTTTTAAAATTTTTAAAATTGTGGGTGTATTTCTGGCGGTGGGGCGGGGCAGGACCCCCCAGGAGGGGTTAGAGGAGGCCAGGGCCATAGGAGGGACGGGTGGGGCTCTTTACTCTCGGATCTTCAGTTCCCGCGCCATCTGACAGAGGGCGCAGGGCAGACAGAAGGTGAGGGCCGCCCAGTCGCGCCCGACGGAGCCCTGGAGGGTAGAAGAGAGAGATCAGGGGCCGGCCCTGGGACCCAGGAGGCCAGTCCCCAGCCCCTCGCTCCCTGCGTCCCGGGCCCGCGCGCACCTGGATGCGGTAGCGCTCGCGCATGCCGGTGCGCAGCGAGTGCAGGCCCCCGGGCAGGTAGGGCGCGCAGCAGCACTCGCCGAAGTCGTCGGAGATGCGACAGGCGAGGCACAGCGGCGCGAAGGTGCCACACAGACCTGCGCAGGGCACGGGGCGTCAGCGGCCGGGTCGAGTCTCCCAGAGGGAATTCGGGGTGCGGGAAGGTGGGAGAAAGGGCTTGAATGGGGGTGTGGGTGCTGGAGGGGGAAGCTGAGCCCGGGAAGGTGGGAGTGCTGCGGGCCCTGAAGGGTGAGGGCTGGGGGGCGGGGCGGTGACAGGGCCCCTCCCGAACTCACAGACGGGCATATCGTTGCAGCAGTCGGTGAGCCCCGTGTGCCAGTCACTGAGTTGGGTCTGGTAGCAGGTGCTGGCGCACTGTGGCTGGCTGGTCACCGGGTAGGACATGGCTGCGGAGGTGGGGGGCAGCGGTCAGCCGGCAGCCTCGAGGCACCCCTGCCACCCTTCCGTCTGCCGGGCAGTCTGGGCAGGGCCGCTAGGCCGCCCGCTGATAGGACACCCCCGTGTCTGGGCACGGACACCCCAGCCTGTCCCTGTTGCTACGGCCGGCCTCCTGGCCATCTGCCACGCCTGGGCCTGGGGTGCTGGGTTCCAGCATGTTGGGGGCAGGGGCCTCTGGGCGGAAGCAGGTGCCCAGGGGAGGGAGGCGGCCGTGTTCCTGGCACAGCGATCCCACCTTTGCCTTTCACGTTGTCGTGCATCTCAAACTGCATCTTGCTGGCCCTGGGGAGGTGGCCTCGCTGACGGCAACAGTGGCGGAGTCTGTCCCGCGGACGCTGGATAGTGGGGAGGGGAGGGCGGGGCACTGGGGCACTGGGGGCTGGGTTCTCAGAGGGAGGGGAGCTGGGGAGAAAGAGGCCAGGTCAGCCTGCGGCTGGCTGGGGGACATAGAACAGGGGATGGGGAGGGCGGGGCGAGAAACTCGCCCCATGTCTTGCAGCTGCCCGACAGACCCCAGACCACAGAGTACGCTACTCATCCCAGGTGCAGCGCTGGAGAGAGACAGCAAGGGGCAGACACAGAGCCAGAGACAGAGCCAGGCGCCCACAGAGGTGCTGTCAGGGGAGCCCGCACTCGCCCCACACTCTGGCTCCAACAAGCCCAGGTTCCAGGTGGGCACCGAGGCCAGACAGGTAGAAGGAAGGGCCTGGCTGCTCACCGCTGGCGGCCTGGGTCAAGGGCCGCAATGCCGGGGACGCCAGGGCCCAGGAATTGCCAAATGCAACCCAGCCCCCAACACAGGGGCCTGGGAAAGGCAGATGTCCAGAGAGAAAGGAAGAGACAGAGAAACAGAGGAGGGGAGAGGAGAGCGGAGCAGAGGGCTTCAGGGTGCTCCTACCTGCAGGCCTGCGGTGGCGCTGATGGAGACAGGTGTGGGTGATATGGGCGCTGAGTTCTCAGTCCAGGTCCAGGAGCCACTTATATGGGCCGGGCCACGTAGCCTTGGGCGGGGCTCTGACAGAGGTGCCCAGGGAGTCCCGCCGGTCTGGCTAACCCTCTGCCCGCCACTGGGCTTTTCCGCCGCCCCTCTCTGTTCCCCACCCCTCACCCCTCTTTGTGTCACCTCCCAGGACCTGGGGAATAGCATAGGGGGAGGGGGAGACAGAGGAAGGGGGTAGAGAGAGAGGGAGAGAGAGAGAGATGGAGAGGGGGTGGCGAACACACAGAAGGGAGGCAGAGAAGTGGCGAGAGGGGAGAGAGAGACAGGAAAACCCAGGGAGGTGGAGAGGGAGATGTGGAGAGACAGAGAGGCACAAAGATCCGGGGAGAATTAGCAAGAACATGGGGGACAGGGTTCCGAGAGGCACAGGGATGGAAAGGTGGGGGCCACAGCACAGGCTTTGGGGGAGGGGAAGGGGAGGAGGAGGTGGGCAGGAGACAGGAAGGGGCGCTTCCTTTGTGGGTCCCTCTCCTTGGTTCTTGGTGATGTCCCCCTCCCCTGCGAGGGTGTCCCTGTCCCCCACTCAGGGCCAGGAGATGCACGGGGGCAGTGCATTTAGTGAGTGATTCATGCTGGAACCAAAGGCGTCGACACACCTTACTGCACCCTCACCGCACCGCACCCGCACGCTGGGCAGGGAGGGGCCTGGGGCTGAAAAGCCACAGTTCCTGAAGGCAGTGGATGTGGCTCAGGTCACAGCACGGGGCCCAACGCAGCAGGGGCCAGAGTGGGTGGGTGGGGCGGGGCCCGGACCCTCGGTCTGAAGTAAAGCGGGCAGGGGCCGGGTCTGGCGCTAGTCCAGGCTGCACATCCCTGAGCAGGGGAGGGGCTCCTGCAGGGTGAGGGAGCAGGGGCCTGGATGCCTCCCTCGCCAGTCTCCCCCCAACAGGCCTGACAGGGTTGGAAGTGACTCAGTGAGGGAAGCGGTGTTAGAACTGGGTGGGGTTCCCAGCACGGGTGTCACCCCAAAAATGTAGGAGGCACCAGAAAATGGAGGTGTCACCTCCAGAGAAGTTGGTGCCATCACCCCACTGGGGACGGATATGGGGTGATGGCAGGCAGGTCACTGGCTGGTACCTGGATCCACTCCCTGCCCCCATCCCCACCCCACGCCCAGCACACCAGGACCTGAGGTCTCCCGACTTCCTGGATGGCCGCTGTCCTTGTCCCCAGAGCAGTGGGCTCATCGGCTCGCCTGTGCATTTGTGTCACTCGGTCGGGGAGCCTGAATGTTTGGGGGAGCCTGAGGCTCCTCCCCACTCGTGTTCCTGCTGTCTCCCCATGACCACATCTTCATCCCTCCAGCTCCAAAGCCCGTGTTGTTCTCCCTCATCTCGGCAGATCTGCTTCTAGACCCTGGGGGCCTCCTCCCAGGCTCCGTCTCTGTGCCCTCCTCCTGGAGTCTCTGTCCCCCTATCCTCAGGGTCTCCCCTCATCTCTGCCCCGTTGAAGCCTGGCCCCGCCCCCTGCTGTCCAGACCCTGGGCTGCAGTGACTCAGACGCCCCTTGAACTGTAGTTTCATCTCCTTCATGACACGGAGGAGGAGCCCGATGACATACGGCGACTCACGAGGATGAGGAAACAGGGACTGGGAGGTGACCTGCTGGGGACGGGGCGGGGCGGGGGGGATGGCCATCCCCTCAAATGGAGTTCCCAGACAGATCATGGGACATCTGATGCAATTTTCATTTCGGATAAGCAACAGATTTTTTTTTTTTTTTTTTTGCCTTATGCATTATTTGGCATGTACTTGCACTTTTTTTTTTTTTTTTTTAACTGTGTACACAGTTAAAAAGGTACACTGGGTTTCCTGTGTGTCCACTTGCTGAGCCTGGAACCCTGTCTTCAAAGTGGACTTTGGTCCCTCTGTCCCCACAGCCCAGCCCTCTCTCCTCCCTTCCTCCTCCTCTCCCTTAGAGTAAATGGGGGCCCCCAGGCATTGTGGCTTGAAGGGTTAAGCCACAGTCTGTGACACCAGCATCCCATATGGGTACCAATTCAAACCCTGGCTGCGCCACTTCCAATCCAGCTCCCTGCTCATGTGCCTGGGAAAGCAGCAGAAGATGGCCCAAGTGCTTGGGCCCCTGCACCCATGTGGGAGACTTGGAAGGAGTTCCTGGCTCCTGGTTTTGGTCTGGCCCAGCCCTAGCCATTGTGGCCATTTGGGGAGTGAACCAGCAGATGGAAGACCTCTCTCCCTCTGTCTCTCCCTTTTCTCTCTATAACTCTGCCTTTCAGATAAATAAAAGTAAAATATTTATTTATTTATAAAATAAATAAAAATAAAAGATTTATTTATTTGAAATACTGAATTACAGAGAGGGAGAGACAGAAAGAGAGAGAGAGAG